AGCACCATAGAGTGCCCTTTTCTGGTAGGTGATGAAGTGACTCAGAAATAGTTGTGTTTTTTGTGAAAGCAAAATGTGCTCTAAATTTCCTGCCCCTGGAAGGGCTGAAGGTGCTAGGTTTTTAGCAAGAGCCTTGTGCGTTCTTGGGGAATTTCTCAGCTAACATCCATTATTTCTCATATTTGGTGGGTACTTGCAGTGTTGTCTCACATGAGGGTATCATTACTTGCTGATACTTTGATTCCCACTACAGCCCAGGGAAGTGAAGCCTCCTGAAGCCCTGTAAACATAAGTAGGAAGTGGCATGGCTTGTTTTTACTTAGTAGGTGCTCTTTGTCTCCCTGTACTGGGGTCGTTAAAACTGCTATAACACTTCTAGTGCTACTACAGTGTCAGATTACGTACACACTGCAGAACATTTTTAAAATATAGCAAGGCAAAATGAAAGAATGGGCTTTACTTACCAGCTGACCCCACAGAGAAAGCTTTCTGGATGCACATATAGTTATATTTTGTGCCTATTTATATATGCCACGCACGTATCTTTTATTTTGCAAAGTAAGCTCAAGACATGCATTTGTTTTGCAAATTTTTCTTTACTTTTTTACAACATAGCAGATAAGAATCAGAAAAAGGTAGGTTTGAGTCCTATTTCTGCAACTTAATTTTGTGTCTCTAGGTAAGTTCTAAAAACTCTGAGCCTCAGTTTCTTTTTTGGAAAGTGGCTTCCATGCCATCCCAGGGGCAGTTGTGTAGAGCAGGACTGGACTGAGAGTGAGGGCTCATGTTGGAAGCAGTTGGGGTGGGTGGTAGGGTCAGTTTGTATAGAGTCTCAGAGTTTAAAGTCTTGAATGTGCTGCTGTCAGAATGGAATCACATTAATTCCATTTGGGATAATCCTATTTGTAATTCTGCTTAATTTTGTCAATCCCAGGACTTTGTGTAGAGTTTTATCTGGAGTGATCCTGAACACAAATGATGAAGGGAACTAAGCAGATTGTGTGATCTAGTAAAGCAAGTCTGGTATAAGAAAATAAACTGCCAGGTAGATTGTTTTTGCCTTAACTGTAAGCTACTATTGAAATTAATTATCTTTAATACTTCTCTATGCATTTGGATCTTAAAATCTGAGTCCTTTGCTTCCATTTCAGGTCAAGTGATAGAGTTTATTTCTTGGGTGTAGGATGCAGTATTTCACTGAACCTGATTCTCTTAATTGCAAAAGTGTTAACTTTTAACTTCACAGTGGAAAATAGCTGTTCATAAACAGAAATACTTTCAAACTGGAATAGAGTGTTGGCATAATATTTTCTATTTAAGGTGGTAACTGTTCCTGAGATATTTGTAGAAATCTGAGCTGTCACATCAATCATATTTAATTTTTGTATTATGTTGCACTGCAGTTGAGTAACTTCCATTTGTACAGCTCTTTGCTCACACTATGAATATTAACTTAAAAAAGGCAAACTGAATTTGAAGTAACGAGTGTTATTTGTCTAACAGAGAAGAGGGGTAATTACCTTCAGTTCCACAAGTGTAAAAATATAGTTCAGACCATCAGTCTTTGATTTCTGCAAAGTATTTGCAGCACAGGAAATTGGGCCAGAAAATTTCTCAGCAAACAGATTTTCTAAAGACAAAATTTCAGTCAGAATGAATGAATGAAATCATTAATTACCAAGGCTCTTTAAGAATACCCCTTCAAACAAATGGTGTTGAGAAAACTGAATTTCTACATGCAAAAGAATAAAGTTTATCTCCTTGTACTTTATATAGAAATACCTAAAGTGATCAAAAATCTCAATGTAAGAGCTAAATGCCAGTGACTCTTAGAAGACAGTGAAAAACTTTATTACATTGGACTTGGCAGTGATTTCTTGGGTTTGACATAAAAAAATAGGCAAAAAGGAAAAAAAAATCAGCAAAATTTTAAACCTTTTGTGCATCAAAGGATGCTATCAGCAGAGTGAAATGGTAACCATAAAATGAGAGAAAATATTTTAAAATCATGATAAAGAATTACCATCCAGAATATGGACTCCTCTATAACTCAACAACGAACATTCAGACATACACAAAGGACATGGGCTTTTCTCCAAATGACCTTAAGCACCTGAAAATATACTCAACGCCGCTAGTTGTGGGGGAAATCAAATGAAAGTCTCAATGAGCTACTACTTTATACCCATTAGGATGGCTGCCCACACACATCACCAGGAAATAGCAAGTATTGGTGATAACATGGAGAAATTAACTCTGTACAGGGCTGATGAGAATGTAAAATGGTATAGCTGCTGTGGAAAAACAGTATGGTGATTCCGCAAAAAAAACAAACAATAACCATAAAATTTGCAATATGATCTAGCAATTCCACCTCTGGGTTTCTACCCCCCAAAATTGAAAATGGGGCATAAAGAGATAGAATATGTATACACATATTCTTAGCAGCATTATTCCTAGTAGCCAAAAGATAGAAGCGGCCAAATGTCCACCAATAGATGAGTAGATATACAAAGTGTAGTATAAGGTAGAGTATTTTTTTAAAGATTTACTTATTTATGCATACAAGAATTGGAGTACAGGCCAGAGGTGGGGGGGGTGGCGGTGAGAGGATTCACTGGAGACAGAGTGGGGAACAGAACAGGCAGATTGACTGAAACACACTGCTGAGGGGAGCAGCAAAAGAGACAGGAGAGGTCGGCTGTGCCATGTGGGTCTCCTCCCTGCCCGGGGATCGAACTTGTGCTTCAGTGGCTATGGACAGCTTCATAGGCAGTGTCTTAACCCCTTGTACTACCAGGGAGGCCCCAAAGTAGAATATTATTCAGTCTTACAAAGGAAGGAAATTGTGATATTCTCTACAGCACACAACATGAATGAACCTGAAGACGTGCTCAGTGAAATAAACCAGTCACGAAAGAATAAATTCTTTTGATTTCACTTATATGAGTTTCTTAAAGGCCAAGTCTTGGGTAGTGTGAGTTGGGAGCCAAGTTGAGGATTTTTCCTCAGATCCTGTAATTCACTGTTTTTTAACAGAGCAAAGGCTGTCTTCGGCACCTTGCTTTGCCCTTCACCTTGCACCCTTCAACAGACTGTTTACCTTATGCACCCAGCTCATGGAGCCAAGGGCTGAAATCAGCTCCAGAGAATGGATCTGAGTCATGGTGCTAGTTTCATAACTGTTCCTTCATTAAATTTTTATCAAATCGTCGTTTCTGGAGAATGATACTATGAATGGTAGGATGAATAGACGTAAGCTTTGTGGACTTTGAAAATGTTTCTGTCATTACAAAGTATGACATTAACAATGATCACTGAAGGCTGCGTTTGTTAATTTTGACCAATATACATTAAACTTTTTACAGTACAAAAATCCTTTCCTAATGTGTTTATTGTGAAAACTATATCACCTCTCTCATAAAAATTTTCATGAGCTACATGAATAAATATAGCTACCCTGGTAATATTATTTATATGTGTCCTAGTCAACTGCCATTATGTTAGGACAAAATGTTAGTCCTTTTTACATTCATTGAGTTTCTTTTTGTTTCAGTCACTTCATGTTTTCTAAATACTGGTTATGGTGCTTGATGTGGTTGCTTAATACATAGTATCTTAAGCTTTGCTCTTCCAATGCAGACTTACTGTAGTAAGGAAAATAGACTTTCTTGTACCTTGCAATCTCAGTTTTTTTCATTTTCCCACTTTTTTTCCCTAATATTTTTGTATGTATTTATGTATACAAGAGCTGGGGTACAGGCCAGAGAATCAGGGGGTGAGAGGATTCACCAGAGACAGAGTGGGAAACAGAACAGGCAGATGGACCGAAGTACACTGCTGAGGAGAGCAGCGGGCAAGTCAGGAGAGGTCTGCTGGGCCATGTGGATTGCTCCCTGGCTGTCCGGGGATTGAACTCGTGCTGCAGAAGGTGCAGATTGCTTCGTAGTGCTGTGCTTAACCCCTTGCATCACCAGGGAGGCCCCCATTTTCCCACTTTTGATAGAGACGTGGAAAAATAAAAATTTTTCTTTCCTTTTAAAGTTATTTATCAGAAAGCAAACCTTCTTAATCTATAGAGTTGGACAATAGTGGTGGAATGGTGGCAAACTATAGTGAACTGTAGAAAGTGGCTTTTGAAATCACATACCCTCTTTTTAAGTGTTGGTAATTAATGTAGAAAAAAATGTTTAAATTTGTGAGCCAAATACAAAGGATACTATCAGCAGAGTGAGTGTGTTTGGATAGCAGGCCATCAACTTGTTTCTTTTCCCCTGAGGCTTGGCAGTCAACTGTTCCTCTACCCTTTGGCAGCACAGTAGCCATTTTAATGGAAAGATTTAGGTAAGTCCTAATGTTACAGCCATTTTCCTGTTCTCATTGGTAGAAATCAGGGCTAACCCTCCTACCTGCTTTTACCAACTTTGTGTTTAATAAGATCCAGCCTCATCACTAGAGATGTCATAGTAAATAGATCTAGTGGAGTAATTTGTTGAGGGACCATTAGTACTTGCACTGAAAGAATAAAGACTATTAGGACAAAGCCTTTTTCATGAGTAGTTTTTGTTTCATTAAATTAGTTTACAATTCATTTATCATAAATGATTCTTTGAAAGTACATGTGTTTCTCAGATTTTGATAATCTTTAAGCTAAAAGAAGGACACCAAACATGGTAGTATGGACATGGGTGAATGGACTATTGGGCAATACAGCTTGCCCAGCACTGAGTATTGGGTTCGTGAACATACCTGCTATGATGTCACAGGCAATATCAGGGCAAAATCACTTAATAATGGGGTTAGATTCTCAAGTTAATAATCTTATAAACTAATTAAGAAATTAGAAATTAGATTCTGTTTTGAAGTACTTTTCCAGCTACTAATTTTGACATATAAACTTTTGGACCTGGTTAATTTTTGTAAGTGAAGAAAGGAAATATTGAAACATTAAATCTAATGGGCATCAGATCATCATGTGTGTTCTCTCATCTGCTTTGCAGGGGGAACGCAGCGGCTGCCACGTGCTATTGGGATGTCCCTAGCCAAAGAGCTCATCTTCTCTGCACGTGTGCTCGATGGCCAAGAAGCCAAGGCAGTGGGCTTGATCAGCCACGTTCTAGAACAGAACCAGAATGGGGATGCTGCCTACAGAAAGGCTTTGGACCTTGCCAGAGAGTTTTTACCTCAGGTATTTCTAACTCACTTCCTTGTTTTCTCTTTTTGCTTCCAGGTAGAGAAGTACATGGTGGCTGTAAACTAAAGTAGTCACATAGTCACATAAAAAGCCTTCAGAATGAAAATCCAGATCAGTAGATAATTTGAGGGCCAAGTAGTAGCCAGACTTTGATAACATTATGTAAATGTCACGTGGAACAGAACATACAGCAATTTAAGTGTTTGCCAACTGACCCCTCTCACCTGAGCCAAATATGTGGAGAGAAATAGTACTGGACAGTTGTCATTGTGTATCACCCCCACACTGAGGCACGCTAAGTAAAAAGACCATAATCTTAAATGTGCTTTCCTTGTAGTAGCTTTATTTGGGATAAGTTATACAAACAGAAACAGTCATTTCTCTCATTGTGTTTTATGGTGATGTAAGTGTTGTTTAACTCCTTTATATGTAATGTATTTCCTCACATTTATCCTTTCAAAATCTGAACTCACTGTATATTTATTCCCATATGACTTCCTCATTAATAATGATAGTGCCCCAAGACTCCTGTTTTATTTTATTTTTTTAGTAGTAAAATTTTTATTTCTATTTATTTTTTAATATAATTTATTATTTTTATAAATTACATCATTGATCATTTTTGTACAATGTTTGCTTTTTCCTCTCAGTTGTAGGCCCCATAGAATTCCCACCACCAGTTCACCTGTACACCATCACCATAGTCCCTTGTGCTCTTCTCCCACCCCATTTTGACCACTCTCTTTTCCCCTCCCCTGTAAAATGTCTCTCATTTATAGTTGCCTGTTATTTTTTGTTGTTGTTATTTTTTCCCCCCCAGATTCCCTATTTGGTTCCCCTCTATTCCTCCTATAAGTGAAACCATCCGATATTTTTCTTTTTCCTTCTGACTTATTTCACTGAGTATAATCCCTTCCAGCTCCATCCATGTTGCTGCAAATGGTGTGTTTATCTTTTTTGATTGCTGAATAGTATTCCATTGTGTATATATGGCACATCTTCTTGATCCAGGTGTTTGGGTTGTTTGCATATCTTACCTATTGTAAACAGTACTGCAATAAACAAAGGGGGGCAGGTATCTTTTTTAATTATTAATGTTTTTGTATCCATTGGTAGATTCTCAAGAGGGGGATTGCTGGGTCATATGGTAGCTCCATTTTCAGTAGTTTGAAGATCCTCCACACAGCTTTCCATAGTGGTTGGACCAGTTTGCACTCCCACCAGCTATGTAGGAGAATTCCTTTTTCTCCATCCTCACCAACATTTGTTATTGTTAGTTATTTTAATATCTGCCATTCTCACTGGTGTAAAGTGGTATTTCATTGTGGTTTTGATTTGTATTTCCCTGATTATAAGGGATGGTGAACATTTTTTCATATACCTGTTGACCATTTGCATTGGAAAAGTGTCTTTTTAGTCCTTCTGGCCAGTTTTTGACAGGATTATTTACTTTGTTTTTTGTTGAGCTGTGTGAGTTCTTTGTAGAGCTTTGTGATTAGTCCCTTATCAGTTATAGCAAAATTTTTCTTCCAGTCAGTGGGGTGTCTCTTTGTTTTGGTTAATGTCTCTTTTGCTGTGTAGAAGCTTTTTTGTTTGATGTAGTTCCAGCTGTTTACCTTTTCTTTCACTTTCTTTGCTTTGGGGGATGAAGACTCCTGTTTTAAGGGTTTCTTTGTTCTCTAACTCAGGTATATTTTTCAAATGTCCCTTTCTTCTGAAATTGTGGGTTAAAAGATATTGGGAGGGGGTCAAACTAGCAGGATTTCCTCAGTTATTATGCCTAACATTTCATTGTTAATATACTACATGTTCTTTATACTTTCATCTATTGATGGGCACTTAGATTGTTCCATATCTTGGCTAGTGTCATTAAGTCTACAGTGAACATAGGAGTGTAGATATTTCTTTAGTGTCCCTTTTTCATCTCTTTTGGTTGCAGAAGTAGATTGCTGGATCTTATGATAGCTATATTTTTAATTTTTTGAGATACCTCCATGCTATTTTCCATAGTAATTTTCACATTTGTAATGATCGAAAAAGTCAAAAGAAAGACATTTTATAGTGCATGAAAATTATGTCATAGAATTTATGTTTCGGGATCCAAAAGTAGAGTTGTATTAGAATAATCATGCCCATTTCTTCATGTAGCGTCTGTGACTACTATTGGACTGGCATTACAAGGTTGAGTAGTTTTAATGCTATCACCCACAAAGCTTTAAAATATTTATGATATATAGCCTTTTAAGGAAAAGATTGTCAGTCACTGGGCTAGGAGGCAGAAAGCTCAAATTTACCATGAATTAAAGTAGAAGTGAAAATACTCACTTGATTGTACAGACATCTGTATGTAAAACCAAACTGTCAACTTAGGATGTAAAATACTTCAAACACGATCCAGGTCACAAAGCAATATGGTTGCTAACACACTTGCTTTCAATTTAATACCTTTTCTTTCCTTGTCCGTCCTTTCTTCACTCCCTTTACTTCTATTGTATGATTTGTATAATGGGGAAAGTCTGTGGAAAATGCCAGGTGGCCAAGAATAACTATCATGGAGTTCCACCCTTTTAGCATCTGCATTTTTCAAGTAATGCATCCTCCCAAGGGCAGAGGATTCTGGCATTCTACCAAATGTACTTGTAGTCTCACTGAAACTATTCTTTATGGATGTTTTTCAGCATCTCTGTGAAAAGGTTCATCTCAGAAATGTGCAGGTGTGAAATGAATATGCAAATGAATAATGGCCACACTATAGAGGACAATAGAATACTCAACCCAATAGAACACCTGACTGCAGCAACCAATGTAAACGTTCTGCATAACCTCTTTGAATCTCTGCCAGCCACAAGTGATGGTGCCTAACTCCCTTGCTACAGCAAGATTTTAATTAATAGGATTTGCTTACATCATTTGGGTGGTTTTCATTTATTTCCACACAGGTCATCTTCTGGATTAAAAGATTTTAACTTGAGAGGGAAAAATATTCTTTCATTCTATCTTAATCCTGCATGGAGTTTAAAGTTTTGTGTCCTAATCATTTCAGGAGTTAAAATAACTTGTTCACTAACTCAGAGTCACTTAATTCACACAGGATCCATAACCTATTTTTTGGACCAGGGATCCTTTTGGCATCTCTATCCAGAAAAATACATGTTCCCTTCATGTTTGTTTAGAGGTTTGCATCCAATTTCAAAAGGTATTCTTGGAGTTCTTTGTTGCCAAACGTAAAGGCCCAGGTCTGCCTGGTGCGCCTTGTCCTGAGAACTGTGGAATGAAACATCACAGTTCCATGGATTCTAAAACACATTGCTGGTGTGGATACTGCTTAATCTGTCTCAATTAAATGTGAGCTGTCATTTTCTGTAATTTATTTCTCATAGACTATAACACGGAGCCTTATACTATGAAATGATGGAAAGAGCACAGAGAGCACATAGGAAAGGTTTTTATTACTCTAAAAGAAGTAGTAAAAGTAGGTAAGGAAGACTCATTCTAACTTTGGTATTAATAGTTTCCCCAAATACAAGGGAAATTTCTGTCTACAGAGATTCAGTGTACATGTAATCAGGTGACGTAACAGTTTAACAAAATGTTGGTGTAACGACAAAATGGCATAAAACTTTGGGGTCAGACCTCCTCTGCAAGAAATGTTGAAAGAGCACTCTTAACTAAATCAAAGAGAAGAAGAGTCACAAAAATTTGAACAAACTGGAAAAAAATGTTAGTTACAGGTCATGATATCTTTAATCTCCCTAAATGTAAATGTACTAAACACATCTGTTAAAAGGCACAGAAAACAAAACCCAATTCTGTTGTCTCCAGGAGACCTATCTGAGCCCAAAGATAAACATAGGCTCAAAGCAGATGGTTGGGAAACAATCATACAGCAAGTGGGACCCTAAAAAGAGCAGGAACCACCACACTTGTATCAAATACAATAGGCATCCAACTAAAAAAAGATAACGAGATAGAGATGGATATTATGATTAAAATATCAGTACATCAGAAAGACATAACACTCATCACATATGCACCACATATGCATCAAAATATGTAAAGCAACTATGAACAAACCCAAAAGGTCATTGACACAGTAGTAGAGGGACTGCAGCACTCCACTTTCATCAATAGACAGATAAACCAACAGAAAATAAATAAGGGAGCAATAGCATTAAGTGAGGAATTAGACCACGTGAACTTAATAGATATTTATAGGGCATTGCACCCTAAAATCAGTGAATACACATTCTTTTCAGGTACACATGGAACATTCTTAAGGATAAACCACATGTTGAGTCACAAAACGAATCTCAATAAACTCACGAGGGCTTAAATTACATCGGGTATCTTTCTTGATCACAATGTTATCAAGCTAGAAATCAGCCACAAAATGAAAGTGGGAAAGCCAAAAATATGTGGAGAATGAATAGCATATTACTGAATGACTCTTGGGTTAGTGAGGAAATCAAAGAATAAATTAAGAAATACCTGAGACAAATGAAAATGAGCTACCAGAATCTATGGGATACAGCAAAAGCAGCACTAAAAGGAAAGTATTTAACAGTACAGGCCCATGGCAGGAAACAAGGAAGATTTAAATAATCTAACCTTCTACTTTAATGAACTAGTAAAAGAAGAATAGATAAAATCAAAAGCCAGTAGAAGAGAGGAAATAAAAAAAATTAGAGTGGAAATAAAGAGAAATCAAAAAGTCCAAAAGATCAATGAAATAAAAAACTAGTTCTACGAAAAAATAAAATGGACAAAGCCCTGGTTAGTAAGATAAGAAAGGTAGAATCAGAAACAAAAGAGAAGTTACGTCAGACAAACAGAAATACAGAGCATCATTAGCCTACTATGAATATCTTTGTACCAATAAATTGACTAGAAGAAAAGGACAAATTTTTAGAAATATACAACCAGGAATCAGGAAGAAATAGAAAACCTCAATGGACTAATTACAAGCAAGGAAATTGAAACAATAGTCAAAAGTCTCCTAAAAAAAATAGAAACCTAGGACCAGACTGCTTCACTAGTGAGTTCTACCAAACCTTCCAAGACTAACTAGACCTATTCTCAAACTCTTCCAAACATTGAGGAAGAGGAATTTTTCCAAACATAGTTTATGTGGTTAACATTACTCCATACCAAAACCAGACAGACATCACAAAAAAAAAAGGGAAAAGAAAACTGCAAACCAATATCCCTGATGAACACAGATGTAAACATCCTCAACAAAAATCTTAGCAAACCAAATTCAACAGTACATTAAAAGGATCACTCATCATGATCAAGTGGGGTTTCTCTCAGTGAGGGAAGGATGGTTCAACATGTGCTTATCAGTATAATTTATCACATCCAAAAATAGAAAATGAAAGTCATAAGATCATATTAATAGATACAGAGATGGCATTTGACAAGACTCAGCATTCATTTATGATAAAAAAAACTCTCAGGAAAAAAGGCATAGAAGGAACATACCTCAGCATAAGGGCCATATATAACAAACCCTCAACTACCGTCATACTAAGTAGTGAAAAATGTAAAGTTTATCCTCAAAGCTCAAATACAAAGATGTCCACTTTCATTATTACCATTCCACATGGTATTGGAGTCCTGGATAGACCACTTAGGAAGAAAATATAAAAGAAATCCAGGTTGGAAAAGAAGCAAAACTGTCACTTGTATACTTGATTATTATATACATTGAAAACTCCAGTAAGAAACTATTAGAAAAAATAAATCAGTGCAGTGATGTGATGGGCTCCAAAATCAGCATACAAAAATCAATTGGATTCCTATATACAATGCCAACAGTGTACTAGAAGAGTACAAAATCATAAAACAATTCCATTTACAATTACATCACAAAGAATTAAATACCTTATAGAGATAAAAGACCTGTTCAGTGGAAACTATAAGATATTACTAAGAGACACAGAAGACAGAGAAATGGAAAGCTACTCCTTGCTACTGGATTGAAAGAATTAACATTATTAAAATGGCCTTATTACCTAAAGCAATATATAGATTCAGTGCAATCCCTATCAAGGTTTCAATGGAATTCTTTGAAGAAATAGGACAAACATTACTGAAATTTACATAGCACCTCAAAAGATCCCAAATACCAAAGCAATTCTGTCAAAAAAAAAAAAAGAAGACTGGATTTATCACATTCCCAGACATCAAACTATACTACAAAGCTGTAATAAAAAACAGTATGGTTATGAATTAAAAACACACACAGAGATCAATGGAATAGAATTGAGAGCCCAGAAATAAGCCTACACTTATATGGACAAATACTTTATGATAAAAGTGTCAGGTTATACAGTGGAAAAAGGAGTCAAGTTATGTAATTGTTCAAGAACAAACAGAGTTTGCAAAATTGGACTGTCACATGCAAAAGAATGAAACCACCACTATCTCACAGAATACGCAGAAATTAAACAAAAAATTGTCTGTAATCCCTGAAACCATAAAAAAATAGAAGAAAATATAGGCAAAATTCACTTCAAGGATGTCTTTGGAAACAACTCCAATGACAAGAGAAACAAAAGAAAAATAAACAAATGGGACTGTATCATAATAAAAAGCTTCACAGCAAAAGAAACTATCATAAAAACAAAAAGACACTCTACTGAGTGGGAAAAATATATTTGTATATCATACATCTGGCAAGGAGCTAATATCCAAAATATACAGAAAACTCATACAAAAAGAAAACAAATAACCCAGTCAAAAATGGGCAGAAGAGTTAAATAGGCACTTCTCCAAAGAAGACATATAGGTGGCCAACAGGCACACAAAAACATGTTCATCATCACTTATTATCAAGGAAATGCAAATCAAAACCACAATGAGATAACCACCTCACACCCATGAGAATGGCTCGTATAAAATAGACAAGAAGTAACAGGTGTTGGTGAGGGCGTAAGAAAAAAGCAGCTTTTATACACTTAGGGTAAATGCAGTCTTTCCAGACCTTATGGAAAGTAGTATGGCTGTTTCTCAAAACATTAAAATCAATCTACCATAGGATACAGCAGTCCCTCTCCTACGTATTTACCTACAGGATATAAGACACTAATTCAAAGGGATATATGCATATCTGTGTTCATTGCAGCACTGTTTACAATAGCCAGAATATGGAAAGCACCTAAGGCTCAAGGACAGATGAGTGGTACATATGGTACATATTTGTACCATATATTCTCAACCACTCACTTTTGAAAAAGGATGAATCTTGCCATTTGCAACAAGATTGGTGTAACAAATACATGCAGAAGTTACAAAATGAAATTTAAGGAATATTTATTTTTGCAAATTTCATTTTGTCATTGAATGATTACTCTTCAAAAAAAAAAAACCCTAGAAAATGTCCATAAAATGAGTATGCAGAAGACAAGGCCTTGGTTTTATGTCTTAGAAGAGAAGCTGATTGAATCATGCATTGTATCAAATAGCATTTTCATTTTTCCAGTTTGTTAAATCCTGCTGCTCAAGGTGTGGTTCATGCACCGGCAACCTGGACATCCCGGAGTAGTGTATAAGCAGAGTCCCAGGCCTACCTCAGTCCCCTGAACCTTCATCTACATTTTCACCAGGGACTTGGAGACTTGTGTGCCTATGGAAGTGTTACAGGCATAGTCTCTGGATCAGCTGGGGATGAAAAGATTTTCACACAAGAGCATTGTTTAAAAGAGAATGGTAGAATTCAAACTAAGATACTTGTCTAAGAAAATTGCAACCTCTAGAAAAGATGTTTCAGCATGGGACTCAGGAGGAGCTCTTAAATAGTTTTAGGTTGAGCATTGAAACTCTGACAGGAGAAATGACATTTTTCTATACGATCATGCATATTTATTCATTCAGTTAGAGGCTTTGTATTGCCTATTAGAATCTTACTTGCGTTTTAATTCAAACGACACTTTAAAATATGCTTTGATTTCTAATTCATCACACATAAACAATTTTTAAGAATTTAAAACATGGTCAAATAACTGAATTCCTTCAGGTGGATTGTGGCTGTATAAGACAAAAATAATACTTTACTTCTGACAGAGGACACTCAGTTTTTCCCTCAGTGACCCTCACACATCCTGCAGGACTGTTAGATTTTAAACATTTGTTTGATATGGGAACACTTCTAGAATATACATCGTTATTAGCATGACTTTATTTGGATCATTTATTGACAACCGTAGAGGAGAGATACATGTCTGAACCCCATGTTCATCAGTAATGTCAGCCTCATTTGTACCCTAGCTTTCTATTATACCAATAAAGGAGGTGGTATTGGTGCCAAGCACTTTGTCTCCTTTTCCCTACTTCTGTGGAGACTTGGTGAAGAAAGGCAAGTCCTCTGCTAGACACATTCCGCCTGCTCACCTTAGAGCAACTAACTTTGCCAGCACAGTCTCCTTTGGAATCTCAGTCACTGGCTGATGCAAGAGAGAGACCTTGCAAGACCCCTAAAAGAAAATTTCCATCACAGTTGTTACTGCTTCTGTGCCATGGATCCAGGAATGGGAATTTCTGAATTTCACTGAGATGTAGAACATAACTGGCATAAGTAATAATTGAAATCTCTTTCTTTAATTTGAATTGTAGGGACCTGTTGCAATGAGAGTGGCAAAACTAGCAATTAATCAAGGGATGGAGGTGAGTGCCTTAATGTTTAAGGTTATTCCTGGAATTGGGAGTTTAAACTTCATTTAAATTGGCAATATATAGAGTCCACAATAATTCTATATTATTTTCTTATGTTCTGTAATATAGTTATTTCAGTGCTACTATAATTGAAAGCTGCAGAGTTGGATTTTACAATAGCAACATCATTGATTTCATTCTGTTTATAGTTGTTGATTCAGTGTCATAATTACAGAATTTGGTAATTTCACTCATGCCTTGTAAGCTTAATGCTTATCATTTTTGCCATGGAGTTGAGACTTTTTTAGTTGGTATTTCATAGAAAACCAAAAGAAAAAGACATTCTGTGTGGTCTCAGCACTACTATCATCTTAGAAAAACATGAGAACAACATTCTTCTCAGAGCTTAGCCTGGGTCTCCACCTTTATCTTCTGCAGATACTTTCTGCAAGGAGACATGTAAACAAGGCAAGTCTGTAGGGTGTCCTGGGGTTACCCTGGGGATGTGTCTCCATAGGGGACAGGCCATGGGACAGATAGACAGAGCAAGATGACAATATAAGCACTCTGTTACATTGGACTTTTAATTACATTGGTGATATTTTGGTTAAATTATGGGAATTTTAAGGAAAGATACTTCTTTCTTGCAGGCCCAGAGTCACTGTATCTTTCTGTGCTTTATAGCATTAAAAAGGAAATTGAATTTGTTAGCAATAAATGCAGTTTTTAAAATGTACAAGTTACTAGGCTAATAACAAACACCTTATATGGTTCTTACAATGTGTTAGTTCATATATATGTATTACAATATAGAATGTACAATATATATAATACAATGTGTCTGTATCAGTCTTACTATATATATCTCTATATCTCAAGTACTTTATAAACTTGTAAATAAATTTTATAATTCATTTAATTCTCACCCTACTTGCATTTGGTAAGTATACAGCTAGCCTCTTGCTCAGGTGCTCCTCCTAAGTACAGTGAGGTTAAATAACTTCTCGATGGTTTTGCAGCTCCAGAATGGCGCAGGTAGAAGTTAAGTCCAGGCAGCCTGGCTTCAGAGTCTCTTGTGCTGGTCACACTTTTGACTTTGTTGTACCTACTCAGAGGATTCTTTTATTTTGGAATAGGGTTATTAAGTTTGCGTTTATATCAAGTATACCATATTTTAAAAGTAATTCCTACTGAAATGTATTATATTTTTATCCTCAGGTGGACTTAGTAACAGGGTTAGCCATAGAGGAAGCTTGTTATGCTCAGGTATGTAATACAGTCACAAATTCAATGATGATGCCTCCTTCCAGATGATGTTTACCTTCTTTGTAAAGTCAAATGAATTCTGTATCATTGAGGAAGATGGTCTCCATGCCAGAATCAAATACATGTGATACTTAGTTGTTTCTGCTATTTGTTACTAGTTCTTATGACAGATTCAGTTCCACAGACTAATGATGCCTGTCTATGTAATTTAGAATGCTCTTTAATACTTTAGTCCCATTTATGTGGTAGCTGTCTCTCTGGCTCATGCAGTATCTTGTGTGGGTGTGGACCCTCTGCAACTCAGGTAGGTGGAAGGAAGGCAACGGCACCTGTGCGTGTGGGCACCCTCAGTGTGAGCGGCTTGGTGGCTTTTCCTTATGTTCTGAGCCTCTTTTGGTGGCTTTTCCTTATGTTCTGAGCCTCTCTACTGAAATTTCACTAATTCAGTTACAGAGTTTTCTTTTCGTGTACAAATTAGTAGGGTTTTCTGTAGAAAAATAAGTTGCCTCCCTCCCTCCTCTCTTTTCTTCTCTCTCTTTTTCTTTAAGGATAAAACTTTGTTTTAGGACATTTAAGGTAGCAAAAGACTTTTATTCTACTCTTTCTGAAAATTGGATACTGCTCCCATTTAAGCATGGCCGTGTTTAAATGAACAACACTGTCTGTAACATTAATATATGCCTGGTTTGCATTTATAAATCACCACCTGTCATGAAGTAAATTATAAACCTTTATAAATGGACAACTTCAGATTTGGAAGCAAATTTTTTTTAAAAAGATTTATTTATTTATGCATACAAGAACCATAATATAGGCCAGAGGTGTGGGAGGTGAGAGGATTCACCAGAGACAGAGTGGGGAACAGAACAGGCAGATCTACTGAAATACACTGCTGAGGGGAGCAGCAGGTGAGTCAGGAGAGGTCTGCTGCGCCATGTGGGTAGCTCCCTGGCCAGGAATCGAATTCATGCTGCAGTACCTGTGGATAGCTTCATAGGTTGTGTCTTACCCCCTTGTGCCACCAGGAAGGCCCTGAAGCAAATTTTTAAAAGCACATTTGGTTATAAATGTAAAAAACAGAAATCATACCAAGTATTCTATTAGACCACAGTGGGAGTAAAGTAGAATTCAATAATAGAAAGATATGTAGAAAATTCAAAATACTGGGCAATTAAACAACACTTGTTATTTTAAAAAACATGTGTATCAAGAAGTCTTAAGTGGAATTAAAAATTTTTGAACTAAATGAAAATGAAAATGCAGCTTCTGAACTTATTTGTGGGAATGCATCAAAAGTAATGTTTAGAAATTTATAGCATCCCTTGCATATATTAGTAAAGAAGAAAAAAAATAAGTTTCTAGCTTATGAAAGTTAAAAACGAAAACAAAAGAGCAAAATGAATCCACAGTAAGCAGAAGAGAAAAAGCAATAAAACCAAAAGTTGGTTCATTGTAAAGATCTATAAAATTCGCAAACTTCTATCCAGGCTAGCCAAGGTGAAAACTGAGAAGATAAAAATTAACTATCTCAGAAGTGTAAGAGAGGCTGTCACTGCTGCCTCTCATGGACATAGAACTTCTACAAGATAACACAGAACATCTTGGTGGCCCTGGGGTTTGGCAGTGTCTTTTTAGATAGGACACTGAAAGCATAATGTATTAAAAAAAAAAAAATTGTAAGCTTGACTTCATTAAAATGAACTCTTCAAAGACATTGAACAAGATAAGCCATATACTAGGAGAAAATCTTTGCAAAACATCCATCTGCTAAAGAAAGGCCTTGTTTCCAGAATATACAAACAACTTAAAACTGAACAATAAGAAAAAGTGGGCCGAAGATCTGAAGATACCTCACTAAAGTAGCAAATAAGCATATGAAAAGATGCAACAGTATATATATGTCATTAAAAAAGCAAATACAACGAATTCACACAATTTGGCTATTTCTTACAAAACATATTATTCGACAATCATGCTACTATGAATTAACTGAATGAGTTTAAAACTTATGTCCACACAAAAAACTGCAGTTCAGTGTTTATAGCAGCTTTATTCATAATGACCAAACTTGGAAGCAGCCAAAATGTCTGTCAGGAGATAAATGGACAAATAAGCTGTGATACATCAGACTATTAATAGAGTATTTTTTCAGTGATAATAGGAAATGAGCTATCACTCTATGAAAAGATGTAAAGGAACCTTAAATGCCTATTGCTAAGTGAAGGGCTTCATTCAGACTAAAAGGCGATGCACTGTATGATTCCACCTAGAACATGGGGCAGGGTTGAAGAGGTGGAGCACTGGGGATGGTTAGGACAGTGAAGCTATTCTGTTTGCCCCTGTATTGATGAATACTTGACATTATGCACATCAAAACCCATAGAACATGCTACACAGTGGACCCTCCTGCAAACTGTGGACTTAGATTAATGCATCAATATTGATTTATCATTTGTAACATCTGTACCACACTAATGCAAGGTGTTACTAATAAGGGAAGGAGAGGATGTAGGAGGCTTGAAGGAGTGTATGGGACTCTACTTTTTCTATTCCATTTATTTGTAAGCTTAATCTGTCTTTAAAAATCTATTATTTTTTAAAATATGTTTGAAATGCAGAAGAGGCATTTGAAGTTAGAATGTTAAATTTGGTCTCATAATTAGAATTTTTCAATGACTGATAAATTTCAACTTTTAGATTTTACTTAATAGTTTTCTTAGATGAAGCTTGTTTAACTTTTAAGCTGTTTTTTTCTTTTTGGTAAAAATAATGTAAAATTTTGTTTCCCTTAGACTATTCCAACGAAAGACAGACTTGAAGGTCTTCTTGCTTTTAAAGAGAAAAGGCCCCCTCGCTATAAAGGAGAATAGAAGAAAGAGAAATTTTTGAAATGCCAGTATAATACATGTTTTTCTGGAGGTATCTTTCAGATCTGCTCTATGGTTCAACACATGGAGCCCCAACCACCAAAGTGAAGAGCGAATTACTGGGGTGGGACAGCAAGCACCCAGAATGGACCCATGCCTGTACTCTGTTCCCTTGTCTCGTTATAGCCATTCAGATTTATAATGCTCGTAGTGTGTACTGTCAAAAACCAGACCCTCAAGTAGGTGTACATTTTTAAATATTTCCTGCATATGAAGCTTTCTGTTCTTAATTTTTTAATGTGAATAATTTATATATTGCACACTTTAGGAGATAATAATATTGACTGTATGTCTACTGTGCTGCAATACAGAAATAAAGTTATTTCTATATACCAAAAATGTGAAATTAAACCAAATAAAGTTTCTCTAAGGGATTATATGCACATGCACAGGGACACATGCATACATCTCAAGTGGAAAAGGGAATTGATATATGAGTGAAAATTACCAAATATTAATAAAATTAGTGAAAACTTGGATATTTTTCTTGTACCCCATTCTTTGTGAATTGAATCAGTCAGTGCCTGTTGAATTTCAGGACCCACCTTTCCATGCCATTTATCTCTGTCAGATAAAACTTCTTCCTAGTCAATCCCGGAATACCATGTGGATGGTGGCGAATTAATCCAGTCATAGCTGGGGTCTGAGGTCCTGTGAGGCCACCGGAGGCCTTGACTGGTATCCTTTGGAGACCTGGCAAGTGGCATGGCCCCTCACCCACCCCAGAAAGAAAATGTCACAGCCTAGGTTGGATGTGGAAATGACTTGGGGTTGTGGCCTGCACTCTGCTTTCTTTTCCTCCCGCTGTTTGCTCCTGACTTCATTAAGGAAAGGCAGATACAGCGTGCCTTGCTGCAGCAGCCAGGCACACCTGAGTTTAGCTAGCCCTGTGGGGAGGGGCGACAAGGTGTGTATGAATGAGAATGTGGCTTTCAGTGGGTTTGGGCTGGTTTTATTTCTGTTCACTATCAAACCACGCTGCTTTCTGAGGTGTGTCTGAGGGTGGAACTTGGTGCGCTAGAAAAGCTGCTCTTTTCTAGGACCTGCACCGCAGTATTTGTCAGTCCCAGTAGTGCTATACTGGACCATGAGCCTTGCTGCTGTCACAGTGAAGTCAAATTTGGCATATGCATGTGTGATTGCCTGTTCTGTGCGTTCCCATGTCAGCACTATGCCTTCATTGCTCTTAGAAAGCCTTTAGACTGAATTTTTAAGAATCACGGAAACTTTTTTTTTTTTTTTTAATTTAGGAAATTGAACTCTCAATCTCAATTCTGAAAATCTTGAGAGGCAAGTGTGGACTTGCGGTCAACTGGTGTCAGGTGGACACACCTCCCAAGAGGGGAACACTCTGCTTTGTCACCAGCAGTGCTGAGACTGCAGATCTGGGCTTAGCTGATCAGCATCAGATAAAAGGGGCTTACTAGAATTTATATTCAGCTCTTGTGCAACCACAACTGGTGGCATGTACACTTTGTTTACTGAAAACTTGTGCTGTTCATATCACACAGGATGATTTGCAATTAAAGAGTTCCTCCTTGTTTTCTTAGTCCTTTAAAGGTTTCAAGGCCATTTTGTCCTGTCCAATCCATGTTCAAATCCCATTCCATTTTAACCGAGTAGGAAATAGTTATGTTGATGGAAAAAAAATTAAGAATATCTGAGTGACTTGTGTCTCCTAAACTTGGATTCATAGTCTGTTGCTGATGAAGAGCCATTTAGTTTCCTAACAAGCTCTGATCGTCACTGGAGTGTACCTGCAAGTGAGGACATCATATGACTCAGATATTATAGACTTAATAAATTATAAATAAATTATAGCGAGATAAAAGGGTGTGCCTGATTGTCTGTGTAGAGGTCTGCCTTTCCCTGGGCTTTCTCTTCAACAGTGCACATTTCCAGACTCCGGTGCAGGGACTAGGTTCTTGGGGCAGTGGGGAGTATCTCCTGTTTTCCAGCCCTTGAGTGTTTGTGCATACTCATGTGAAATGCCTTCAGAAGCTGACCCAAGTTGGAGAGGCAGTAGATTTGTCAGTATGTTCAGATTAAGCCAGAGAAGAATTGGAGGACGAGTAACCGGGCACGTGACCATTCAGGGCACACATTTCACTGCAGGAAATGCACTACATCTCGGAACAGGAAACCTACTGGTCTTGGAGTGCTTTAGTGCTCATTGATTTCAAACATCTCTAAAAGAAAACTATCTCCGAATGACTTCTGATTGTGAGACAAGATTTTATTAATGGCCAAAATAAGAGGCAGGTTTTCTGTGACTCACTTCTGTGATTTAAAGGATCATTTCCACTGTGTGCTGTTGTCAATAAAAAATAGACCTGGTTTTCTGTCAATCTAGTGCTTCTCCACCCCCACCCCTTTCCCTTTTCTAGCTGTCAACAAATTGGCTGTCACAAAGTGTTACTTTGCTGACAGCACTCAACAGCATGCTTTGTATGCTGGGTGGGCATAATGGAGTGTATTGCTTGGGTGCCACACTTAACAGAAAATACACGTTTGTTGTATGGCCTTGCAGTGGGCTGGGCATTGACCCTTTTCCTCACTTGACCTTAACTCTTCTGGTGATAGGCGCCTGCATTTGCTCTTATTGGTGGTCCAGAATCCTGGCAGGCAAATGTTTTTTAATATTTAATCATGCTGTTATATTTGTCTATCCACCTAGTTAAATATTAATTAACGTGTGTCAGCAGTTATTGGACTATCAAAACAGTCAGAAATTATTCAAGAATGCACATGTCACAAAATAGAAAACACAGCATTTTAAAGTTACCTATATTTGGGCAAAATCGGAACCACTTTTTTGCATCTAGCAAATAGGCTACAGACTGTGATTGGGGCCATTGTGGGCAGCAAGGGGATCCACCCTTTGTTCAAAATACCTATGGGTCAGGTCTCCAGCCCTGAAAACAGTTTCAAGTTCCTGTTTTTGGATTTTCATAGTTTTCCTTCTTTGGATCCTCCCAGAATCCAGCTGCCCCTGGATCGCCAGCTCCCAATCTGCAATCACTTGGTGTGCAGTGTTTTGCTTTTGTGTGTTTTTTTTCTTTTCAGACAAATTCTCAGGGAGAGAACTAGGCTCCTGACGGGGAAATGGACAGACCACGTCCCATACCTCCAGCGAGGTCAGGTTCGTCGTGGAACACGGTGTGGTGTGAGCTTAATGTGGTCAGGTGGGAGAAGGGCAGGAAGGAAGCTGACAGTTCTGGGGGCAGCAAGGGAGGAACTTTTAACCCCAGTGGGTCACTCCCTTCATAGAGAAAATCTAGTATACGGTATGCTTTGATTCCAGGAGACTTGACAAGGTCACTGAAGATACTGATATGTGTAAGCTGAGTGAATTGGGGCTGGGTTTTATTACACTGGTGATGATGGCAGTCATGAAGTCCTAATGCTGCCAGGTGCCCCTGTGCTATTGTCCTCAATGTGCACAGCACCCTGGGCAGAGAGGCACTGTCCACTGCTGGCCCGAGCAGGAGACTGCAGTCTGTGGACCATAGGCTGGTGGTGGGGTTGGGAATTGAGCCTGTGACCTGTTAGCCTGTCTGGCATGACTGAGGCTATTGATTCGGATGTGTCAGCTTTGTTGCCTTGATTGTATCAACAGTTTTCTACAACTAAAAAAAACTGAAAGTGTACTGATCCCATGGCCTGATGCCAGGAGACGCACATGTGACAGGGACGCCTGCTCAGTGCTTCATCTAAACCAGGCACTTTACCTGCATTTTCTTTTTTTCTTTTTAATTAATTATTTTTATTTTAAATTTTTTGTAAGATTTATTTTTATTCAAGAGCTGGGGTACAGGCCAGAGACGCAGGCGGGTAAGAGGATTCACTAGAGATAGAGCGGGTAGCAGAGCAGGAAGAAGGACCCAAGTACACTGCTGAGGGGAGTAGCGGGTGAGACAGGAGAGGTCTGCCGTGCTGTGTGGGATGCTCCCTGGCTGGCTGGGAATCGAACCTGCGCTGGAGAGGCTGCGGACAGTTTCACAGCGCTGTGCTCAACCCGCTGCGCCACCAGGGAGACCCACTTTACCTGCATTTTCACTTCCAGTACTCAAAAGCCTTGGGAAACAAGTTTGTCAGCTTATAGTTTAAGAGACTGATGGAGAGTGGGGTTCTGTGTGCAAGCCCCCATGTGTAATCACTGCAACCCTGAGGGACCAGAGTTGTCGAGGTGGCCACTAGCCGTGCACCAAATCTATGAAGATACGGTTAATCATGGGCAGGGTGTAAGCCTTGCTTCTCAGCTCCCCTAAACCAACCACCCCACACCCCTAGAGTGTGAGTCTGAGGACTTGTGGTTTGGCAGCAATCCCCAACAAAAGGAAGCACGAGTGGGCCGGGGTGCCCCCGGCTTCTGGGTAAGCGTGGCCAGGCTGCAGTCACACTTATCTCAAGTATTGTATTCAGCTCTCAAGTGATCATGTATTTGCTCTGTGCTATTCTGGAAAGCACGCATAAGTTCTTTGGCCAAGTTTCAGCTTTTCCAAAACCAGTGATGTGACATTGGGCACAGCACCTCTTCCCATTGAGCCTGCTGCTTTGCCTGCAGCGGAATCCAGGTCATCACAGTGGAGGCACGTGAGTGTGTCTGTAGGAGACCTTTGACCCAGGCCAGTCATCATATGCAGGTGAGGAAGTGCAGTTGTATTTGTTTCAGGAGAAACCTGGGACATGAAGGGGACCTGTTCAGGAAACTGAGCCACTCATGCTGGGAGAGCCCTTCAGAGAAACCCTGCAGCTTTCAACATCTGTCACGTGAAACTGGGACCTTTGAGGCTGCCAGGGAAGAGCCAGCAACACTCTGCTCCCAGCTCTCTTGGTCCAGACACAGCCTCCGGGATGAAGTCAGCAGGTGAAGCTTCTTAGATGCTCCCAGGCCCACAAGCTTTCTCTGCCTGAGGTCCAAGCAGGAAATAGGAATGCCAGGGGCGCTGAGGACACTGCTGTCCCCTAGGCAACCAGACCCACCCCTTCATGTGAGATAAAGGTGCCATCTGCAAGTGCTGCCCTGGTGGTGTGTCTGCAGAGGCACAGAAAATGGCTAGTTCCCCCAAGGTGGATCTGGTTAATAACCACCTTGGCCCTTGGGATAACCCATAGGCAGTAGTTTTTCACTGTTTTAAGAAAAGACCTCCTCATATCTGAATGCCATGTTTTCAGTTCTAGTGTTGAGGGTTGCATGGGCAGATGACCTGAGAAAAACAGCCCATTTTTCTACTGACTCAAGTGGCTGCAGCAAAGCACAGAGGGCCTGATGCAGGACCCAGGCCCCTGACTGGGGGGTTGGGGGGGTCAGTCTCTACATCTCACTGCAAAAGTTCAGTCCTAATGCATTTCAAAGACTGTCTGGAAACATCCTCTAAATGCAGTCTCTTGTGAGCACATTTCACAGAACACTCTGGAGAGGAGTCGTCAAAAGGCAGGCACTGTGTCAGCCCAGGGCGACATTCCCTTAGAGGTAATGTTCACAGGAAAAGGTTTTAGAGGAATTTGAAAATGGGCAAGTGCTCTTTCTTGACCTTTTCAAAAACAGTCAGTCACTTTCACTTTCAGCCTCTGAACATGTGGAATGAATCCTTTGTGCCTTTGCAAAGTGAAGAGGGTTTTGTCTAGCAAGAAATGTAGACTTCTTGTAGGTGCTCCTGCAGTGAGTAACATTTCTTTTGAGCTGGCTAGTAACACTTCTGAGACACAGTTTTTAAGAGCCTAGAACTTTCTCACAAGTAGCTGTAACTTGAGTGCTTTAAAAATTCCAGCACAAGTAATGTGTGACATGCCATTGAAGATAGGGAAAGACAGTCCACATCTGACTTAGTGGACACACATTCTAATTATTGGAGAGGTAACATTGAGAGCTATTCTTAGCCCCCTTGGAGGCTCCCCATGGGCTCCCTGCAGAATGCCATGCTACATAAAGAGGTAGTTTTCTTTGCCTCTGGTCTTTGTGGGAATGTATGTGTGACTTGTGACAGTAAATTAAACACCCTTGCAAGAAAGTATAGTGGGGGAGGTGTGTGTGTATCCTGACACCTCCCCTGTACTGGTTCCCGAATTCAGGTCCAGAGTGTCCTCTCACATACCCGCATTCTTGTAAGCTTAGGGTGGATGAGTAACTGGCGATGCCAACCCTCTGTGCTACTGCTGCTTGCACTCCTACATATGCTGTGTGTGTTATCCAAAACTTGCTTATATGGATATGAAAATGTGCATTGAATTTCCTGAAAAACTTGACAAACCTGATCTTTGTAATCTTACCCAGTTTCCTCTAAGGATGAGCTAGTCTTAGAGAGTAAACATGAGGAGAGTGGTGATGAAGGGACCCAGGAAAAGTCCCCACCCCTTGTCTGTGACCTTCAGCAGATGCAGCACGAAGGCCACATCTGTGGGGAAAAGACCCCATCACATCTACTCAGCAAACCTGAGAACTGGGGTTCCCAAAGTCATTGACCCCAAGAAAAGGTGCTTTTTGAGGCTCCGTCTAGAACTTCTGAGTTGATCCTGGGTTTGGAACCCTGAAATTGGTGTTGAGAAAAAAACCACCTTGCTGAATTTTTTTTTGAGATATGATTCACATCCCATAAAAGTCAAGCTTTATATGAAGTATACAATTCAGTGATTTTAGTAAAGTCAGAGCTGTATAACCATAACCACTTGTAATTTCACAGTATTTTCATCATCCTCAAAAGAAGCTCTGACTTTGGTGATGCATATGGTGCGGTAACATACATCGGAAAGGTGTGATCTCTACCTCTGAATCCCATATTTGTGGTGTTGTAAGCCAATGTTACCCCAATAAAAAAAAAATAAAATAAGAAGCAGCCCTGTATTTACTAGCAATCTCTCCCAGTCGCCCCTCTTCCCAGCTCCTGGCAACCACTTTCTGTTTCTGGATTAATCTCTTGTAATCTCTTTTGTTTCTGGATTAAGACTTGTAAGTTTCAGAGTTACCTAAGACATAGTGGTAGTACATGTTACCAGTTCTTTGTTTATATGCCTCACAGTGGAGTTACTGGGTCACATGGCAACTTTATGTGTGACTTGTGGATGGACTCCAACTCTATTTTCTAAAGTGGTGGCACCATTTTGCAATCCCACCAGCAGTGTATGAGGGTTCTAATTTTCCACATCTTCACCAACACTTGCTATTGACTATTTTGATTGTACTCATTGTAGTGGGCATGGAGTGGTAACTCATTGTGCTTTTGATTTGTATTTCCTTAATCGCTAGTGATGTTGAACACACTTTCATGAGTTTGTTGGCCATTAGTAGGTCTTCTTTTTTTTTTTAAAGATTTATTTATTTATTTATACAAGCACTGGGTACAGTCAGAAGTGCAGGAGGGTGAGAGAATTCACCAGAGTCAGAGCGGGGAGCAGAGCAGGCAGAAGAACCGAAGTACACTGCTGAGGGGAGCAGCGGGCGGCAGGAGAGGTCTGCGCGCCATGTGGGACCCTCCCCAGGAGGCAGGGGATCAAACCGGCGCTGCAGAGGCTGCAGGCAGCTTCGCAACCCAGCGCTCAACCGCTGCGCCACCGGGGGAGGCCCAGTAGGTCTTCTTTAGAGAAAACTGTTGTCCATATTTAATTAGTCTATTTGTCATTTTATTACTAAGTTGGGGATGTTCTTTATGTATTCTGGATACAAGTTTCTTATCAAAATATGTAATTTGTAGATCTTTTCTCCTGTGGGTTGTCTTTCACTTTCTTGATGGTGGCCTTTGAAGGACAAAAGTTTTCCATTTCAATGAAATTTATTTTATTCTTTTCTTTGTTGATTGTACTTTTGTGTCATATCTAAGAAGCTTACCTCATCCAAGGTGATGAAGGTTTATGTCTTTGTCTAGAAGTTCTGTGGTTTTAATTTTTACATTTAGATTTTGACACATATTGGTGAATTTTTTGTATTTATTGTAAGGTAGGATCCAACTTCCTTTTTTTTGCATATTAATATCCAGTTGACTAAACACCATTTGTTGTAAAGACAATTTTATCCTTTGTATTGCTTTGGTAAAACCTCATCAAAAAATCAATCATGCTGTAAGAGTTCTGTATTTAAATTCTCAATCATATTCTGTTGTTTATCCTTATCCGAGCATCTATTGATTTGATCATGTGGTTATTACATTTATTTATTTTCAGGTATTAAATAACTTTTAAATCCCTGGGATAAATCAAGGTGTATAATTTTTTTTTTTTTATGTTGCTGGTTGTGGCTTGCTAGGGTTTTGTTCAGGGTTTTGGGGTTTATAAGAAATTGTTCAAACTGGTACAGCCACTATGGAAAGGTGTGTGGAGATTCCTCAGCCTACTAAAGATAGAGCTTCCATATGATCCAGCAATTCCACTCCTAGGTATTTACCCAAAGGACAGAGAAACATTAATTCCAAAGAGCACCTGCACCCCTATGTTTATAGCAGCACTATTTACAATAGCTAAGCTTTGGAAACAACCCAAATTCTCAAAAATAGATGACTGGATCAAGAAGATGTGGTACATATACACCATGAAATATTACTCAGCAA